TTGCTGCTGAGCATCTGCCTACAACACCAACAGACAGCCTAGATAATTTATCTTATTTTCCGGCGCTTAACTGCTATGTCCGCTTTCAAAGACTTGTTTTTGTATATGTGTATTACTCGCTAAGTCTCTGTGTGTATGTTGTATTTTCTTGTAGGCGCATAAAGTCGGGCGATAATGCGTAAAAGGCAAATAAAATTTAAGCTAAACACAACAGGCTGTCAACTCTCTTGCTAGTCGCTGCTTATACAGCCATCAGCATGAGCTAGCAAAATATTGTGGTATAAATATATTTTTCATACTGGCTGTTTATTTTACTCTGTATGGATACGTGTGTATGCCCCTTTTTGGTTTTGGCTTGAGTGGACTTTAAACTCAACCACAGGCTTGCCATATTTTTTTTGCCTGAAGATTTATCATTTTTAATGTCATTGTAGTAGGTATACATAAATATAAATGAATTGTGACTTGCAGCAAGTATTTCATGCCATCACTTATATACAGGGCGAGCCAGCTCATGTGATATTGTGTAAAAATTTTATCACTTTGACTTTTACTGGCAGTTTTAGTGAAGTAGTAAACATCTTTATGTAGAATTCTAAATAAAAAATACTTGACACAATAAGAACTTGCAGAAGCTGTGACTTAAAAGTGATGTTGCAAAGCAGCGAGGTGAATTTAACCATACTTAGTACGAACATTGAAGTATTTGAGAAACAAAAAATTAATTCACGGTCCATGGAACGGCACTTCCTAACCCAAAAAACTCTCTTTTGTCGATATTTTCACTGGAATCTACATTCTACAAAATTTTTCAGATACAAGTAAAACGAAACAGTCGCTGGGGGTATATACTGATAGCTTTCGGCTCATTGTTTTTCTGAAACAAACAATGATATCGAAAAGAAGTACCACCACCTGAGTCGCCAACTTTGACTTCGTCCACTTTTTTTTGCGGTTATTTGAAGAGCAAAGTGAACCCTCAGTTATCCGTGGATCATTAGTAAGCCAAACATGCGTTTCAAAATCAGCTGATATATATCTATTCAATAAAGCAATTGAAAATGCAACAAAAAGTATAACGTAACCACTTAATTTATATTATATTCTAAAAATAGTCAAAATAAATTGTGAAGAAATAAGTTAAAAATATGATTTTCAATATACCAAGCAAAAAGCTGAAACACCCTGTATACACGCACTCAACCTACGCTCTAACTCTTATCTCTCTCTTCTTTGCTTAAACATTTTCTCATAGTCTCACAGTTTTGCTTTGCTTTGAATTCTTTTGCAATTTGCATTAAAATCTAATCGCTCATTCTGCAATTGAAGCCTTCTTGGCTTTTCAACGTGGAAGATTAAATTTTGTTGCATCACTTTTATTGTTTGTTGAACAGAGTCTTTCCTTTATTCGAGTAATGAATGTTTTCCATTTCGATTTTTAATCCGATTTGCATTGCCAAGTTGTGAATTTCTCTTTAAAAAGTATTAATATTTTTATATTTTTATTTGCGAAATGAATTTATTTCCTTGTTTGGCAGCAAATATATATTTTAAGAATTGATTTTTACAAAAGAACCAAATTTGATTTTGTTTGTATTTGTTGAAAAAATTAGGCAAATTGGAATTTCAACTTTAAAAGTGAACAGCAAGGTAGTAATGTAAATGGAATTCAAAATTTGCAAGTTTAAATAACGGTACCTAAAATAGAGTGTGAGGCACTTAATCGGCTTGTTGAAATCTTCCAATATTATGTAACATTTTACAATTTTTTTCAAACAAGATTCGTAGAAGTATGCTTCAGCTTACCAGTTTGCAGCCTAAGTAACATTTGAAATTAAGCAAGATGAATGCTGTCTATGTTAGTTGATAGAGCAAAGCTATTTCGGTAATTTTATGGCTACCACTCAAGGTGCTATGAATAAAAACATTGACAAATGTAAGAAACAAAATTATATAAAAGAGTTTTCCTACTTTTAGGGTTTGGAGAAAACATCGTGCAGAGTTCTCGATCGACTTGGAAGTGGTTTTCAAAGAAGAAAATGTTCCACACGAAATACAACTATGTCATGCTTTCAACCGGCAGCTGAAACTTAAAGAACTTTCATCCAACCTAAAGAGTTCCACGACAAAAGAAGTCGAAGTTTGACCAGAAATCTTGTAAGCTACCTGCTGTTAAAAAGGTTGTATCCGAAAGCCAAAATGAAGTTAGCGAAATGTTTTTCATGCTATAGAAAGCAGAAAAACTCACCAAGCTCTATATAACCAATGACATCTAGTTATTGTTTTCACATAATTTTATATATTTACCTTTTATTTTAGACCTCTTTGAAAGCTATTTAATATTTTAGAGTAGCTGAGCATTCGATTCGTCAATATAGAATAGTAAAATATGTATAAGCAGGATTATGGGAGATATCTTTCGATTCTTTTTTTTTTTCAATTTCAAATCTAAGCCCACCTATACATACTCAGCCGCTGTTTGTTTAATTACCGAAGCAATTAATTTCAACTTTGCAAAACTCTTTAGCTGCTAATACAAATATATTTCGCATGTCTAACAATTTGTGTTCGGCCATTAAATTTGGTTTGTATGCCAGCCAAGTTTAAGCATAACACAAGGGTGAGAATGAAAAGTACATATACTTAAGAATTTTCCACAATTAAATGAGGTTAGCTTTAAGCTTTACACGAAACTGACATTGCTAAATCGAATCAGCTGGTATAGCTGTATATATATTATATATATATACACTGTAACAAAAAAGAACCCGAAATTATTTTATTTATTTTGTTGGCTTCAAATTAATCCCCACCAGATGTAATATATGTAATGTACTTATGAAAACGATTTATTTAGATTTATTTTAGAATAAGAAATATTTTTATTATGTCGATAAAACGGCTTTTCAAAATTCAAATTATTACTAGAGGTATAGGTATTTTGCTGCCCTGGAATCCAAACTAATTCGACCAGTTCGCGTCTCTTTAAAAATCTTTTCTTCCAAAACGTCTCTTTCAAAACGTTGCCAAAGTGTTGGTTCAAGAATATTTGTACATAAACTTTCTTATAGACTTATTTATAATTGGAATTAGTCATATCCCTAAATTTCAGTTTTTACTAAAAAATTTGAATCATCAAAATAGTTGTATAATTTTTTTTAAGCAATCGCAATTTTTTTTTTATTTTCAGACGCGTATCAGTTCTTTGAAAAATTTAGAATTTTTAGAACTTTTTTAAATTTTTAACCTTTTTATACTCTCGCAACAAAGTTGCTAAAGAGAGTATTATAGTTTTGTTCACATAACGGTTGTTTGTAAGTCCTAAAAC